TTTCATCTGAGTGGAGGGACCATGGACAGCAGGCTGGTCATCAGCCTGCACCCCACCAGCTCGGGCCCCTGTTACAGAAGCTGGGTTGAAGAGTCAGGTGCACCGAGGTTCAGTTTGGCCACTTCCCAGCTCATTGCTGTACACCACGGTGCCCCAATGTTCAACCACCCCGTTTCTAGTGGGTGGGGTAAAGGGGCATTTGGTGTGCCTCCTCCTTTAAAACAAAACAAGAATAAAAACCTCTTCTTAAATCCTGAGAAGAAGGGTGACTAAGGGTTGACACGCTGCAATACCTGGTTTGAGTACTGCTTCCTCTCCTGATGCTGGCTTCCTGCGGACAAGCTCCCTGGGAGGCAGCAGGTGATGGCCTAAGTTCTCAGGTGCCTGCCACTCATGTGGGAGACCTCATCTGAGTTCTCGGCTCCTGGCTTCAACCTGGCCCAGCCCTGGGCCTCACGGGCATCTGGGGAATGAACCAGCAGGGAAAGGGGAGGTCTTTTTCTGTGTACATGGTGGGGCGGGAGGAGCTGTTTTGAAATAAATAAAAATATCTTTAAAACTCTGAGAGGAACTCAGTGAAGGTCTTGCAGCTAACATGCATGTCAAGTCAACAGCCTCAAACTTATTGAAACCACCAAACGCACCAACTGCTTTGACACCTCTGAATTCTCCAAATTCAAACCACCTGAAGGCTTCATGCCGGGTGCTGAAGCATAAGATCTGTCTTGGGGTGCGGGGAGAGCAAGGGAGCAGAGGTTCAGCAAAGTAGCATAGCAAGCTAATCCTCAGCCTACAGCGCCAGCATTCCATATGGGCACTGGTTCCAGCCCAGGCTGCATCCACTTCTGATCCAGCTCCCTGTTAATGGACTGGGAAAACTGCAGAGATTGCTCAAGTCATTGGGCCCTTGTACCCATGTGGGAGACCCAGAAAAATCTCCTGGCTCCTGATTTTGGATTGGTCCAGCTCTGGCCCTTGTGGTCATTTGTGGAGTGAACCAGAAGATGGAAGATCTCTGTTTCTGTCTCTGTGTCATCTATAATGCCACCTTTCAAGTGAAAATAAATTAATCTTAACAACAACAACAAGTAAGATGTATGCCCTGGCCTTGCTGCTGGTTGGGGCCAGTCAGTCAAGAAGAGTGGTCTCAGGGACACGGGCCCACACAGGGACCCAAACCCCGGTGGGCCTGAAGTGCTTCACCTGGCCTCTGGTTCACGCTGGTGGGTCTGTAGCCTGATGTTTCTACCCCCACACAGCCAGGGCAGGGTTTTTCGTCCCATCCACCTCTGCCAGCCAGGAAGTGCTCCACCATGCACCCAGGGATTCCAGGAGCCTCGGTGAAACTCCCAGTGCCCAGGCTCACCCTGCATGTGCACGACTTGCCAGCTCTCCCTCTGCAATGCACGCACGCAGATGTTGGGCTTTGCTGCATCCCATGTCAGCAAGCCTGTGGGTGAAAGCTCCCAACTCCAGCTTCCTGCTGATGAAGCCCTGTGATGCCACGGGGATGGCTCAAGGGTTTGGGTCCTTGCCACCCCATGTGGGAGATTGGGTGGAGATTCTGCCTCCTGGCTTCCATTTGGCACAGCTCTGGCCTTTGGGGCATTTAGGGAGTGAAACAATGGAGTCAACTACCCTCCCCAGCCCCCCCGCCTCTCGAACAAATACAGTCTTTTAAAATCCCACTTAGGCATACTACAATATGTTATCCCTTCTTGCACCACATGCAGCTGATCTGTCAGCCTCCCTCCTCAAGATTGGGCCAGGGCCTCCCTGCCTCTAGCTTGGCCTTCCTTTCTCCGTACAAGGATCCCTCCCATGTGTTTTTTAAAACAGGGGCCAGCATAGTGGCACAACAGGTTAAGCCTGTAGCACCAGCATGGGTACTGGTCCAAGTCCCACTTCTGATCCAGGTCCCTGCCCATACACCTGGGAAAAACAACAGAAGATGACCCAGGCCTTGGGCTCCTGCCACCCAAGTAGGAGACCCAGATGGAACTCCAGGTCTCCTGGGTTTGGCCTGGCCCAGCTTTGGTTCTTGCAGTCATTTGAGGAGTGAACGCTCTCTCTCTCTCCCTCTGCACCTGAGATGGCATGGCAGGGGATGCTGTGGCCACCTTCAGGGTCAGGTGCCTCTCACATGTAAAGTCTCACCGTCCTCACCACAGGCCGACAAAGTGCTACCAGCCTCAAGTGTTGGCTGCTGGTTCATTTCCCTGCTTTCCACGTGGTTGTGTTCCAACATCAGGAAAAGGAGCAGCTGGGGAGTCCCTGTCTCCAGCGCGGTACACTCCCCCCGCCAATCCAAGACCCGCCTACTGGGGGCGGTGGAGCCAGGGAGGGCCACACCAGCCTGCTGGGGGATTGGGAGCTGGGGGCCTTCCCCAGGCGCCTGCCCGACCCTATCCCCGTCAGCCCCAGTGGGTTTAATGAGAAACCCAGGCATTTCATACTCCAGGGCGCCTTCAAGTCCCTGGAAGGTAAGCGAGTGGAAAGAGGGTGGCTTTCCAGCGCGGGGCAGAGGGGTGGACCCGGGGCCTCGCGCACGCGGGCCAGGGCGAGCTCCGCCCCTGCCGCCACCGCAGGAGCCTGCCCCGGCTCTCCGCGCCCCTCGCTCTGGCTCCCTGATTAGGAATTTGGGGGCGGGCCCTGGCCTGGCACTGCAGCGCACACTCTCAGTAGGCGCTTGCTGCTGCTTGCGCTCCTCTCCCCCACGTTCTTCAGCCCAAGCAGGCCAGACTCCGGGACGTGGGCACTTTTCCTGGGCTCAGCTCGAGGTAAGTGTAGGCGTTTTGACTTGGGGTGCCAAATCAAGGCGATGACCTGGGGCTGGGGAGAGGATTGAGCAATTCCATCTTTCTTCTCCCAGATGTGGGCCACCCCACCCTGCCAGGGATGCTGGAGCTGCTGGAAGTGAGGGGTCTTGCATAGTACATGTCGTCTGTGGTTTGGGGGGGAAACGGAGAGCTCCAGTTCTCAGGCACAACAAAGTAGAGGTTCCCATACCCTGGAGCTCTCTCTCCATGTTCGTCAACTCCTTGAAGATCTGCGGTACTTGGGAGCAGCCCAACTTGGGGTGCAGCCTCTTTGTGGTGGGGGTGTGGTACCTAAGTGCTGCCACATGTGGTGTGTGTGTGCTGTTGGGGTGCCAGGGAGAGAATAAGAGTGTCAGATCCAGGTGGGGTCCAGTCCAGGTTGGACATCCTGTGCACTAACCAAAGGCAGAGGCTCTGCTGTCTGAAGTGGGCAAGCAAGAGAATGGCAACAGGTTCTCCCCAACTTGACGCTCCCCTCCCCCCAGCAACTCAGAGTGTCCATCCTAGAAGCTTCCTTTAGAGGTTGAACGCAGGTGGATCCAGGGCATGGCAGGAAACAACGCAAGATTAGCCAGCCCTGAAGCAGCACTGCTAAGAGATTGAGTGGGGTCAGGGCAGGCATGACCCCCCCCCAAAAAAAATCCCTCCCAGGAGCCACGACTCTAAGGGGAGTGCACAGAGCCTGGAAAGCTGTTCTGTTAGGAAGACGGTGACCTCGTATGGAAAAAGGAGGAACTGGAGACAGAGGTTCCCTGTGCCAGCCCTCCAGGCACCTTGGTCCTGTGGTAGCCCAGGCTGTGCATGGAAAAATGCACCCTTGGCAGTGGGCCGCTCCATCCATCTTCTGGCCACAGCCAGGCAGCAGCCAGCGTGTCCAGGCAGTGGGCAGTTGAGTCTGCTGCTCAAAAAAAAAAAAAAAGATCACACTGGGGCTCTTTGTCTGAGGCCTGAGACCGCCTGAGGATGAGCCAGGGGGCTGCTGACTTTTCTGCAGCCCAGTGGCTGGTGGCTGGAGCAGGCTTGGGGAGCTGCTCGGAGGAGCCAGGGATGGTGGCCAGAAGGTCGCAGGCAGCCACCAGAAGGTCCTGACAGCTGACTGTACTGGATGTTGGCTGTTCTTAGACTGCTTTCTGCCACTTGTCTAACAGCAGTGCAGGGGATATATGGGACCCAAGGTGACTCTGGAAGGTGAGGCCAGGCAGTGCCCTGGCTGTCGGTCATCGGGTAGGGTGCCAGACTCAATGCCACCCCATCCCTCTCACCCTCCATCCTTCTCAACTGACACCAGCTCCCCGGCTTGCTCCCCTCACCTGTGCTGGCCTCATTCCCCAGGCACCAGGAGCCCAGGGGGATTGGATTTCCAGAACTCTATCCAAGACTGCTTTTCCTTGGGTACCACGACAAGCTCCAATGACTGTCTCCTCCATCATTCTGTGTGTGCCCCTCATGCCCCTTGGCCCTGGGTCCCCAGCAAACTCATACCTCACCAAGCTTGGCAGGAGAGAAGGAAGCCGACCAACTCCACCTCCTTGCCCTGGGCCACCTCCAATGCCAGACCGCTCCTGGGAGACCATCTGTCTCTCCATGAAGTCTCTTCCATGTGGCCTCTCCAGGCACAGCCTGGACACTGCTGGCTGGAGAGCCTCCTCCCCTGCAGCGCACCCCACGATGGCCCCCGTGGGACCACACTGCTCTCTAAACACCTGGGGCCAGAAACCTACAGCCTGGTCTTCCCCCTTGGATGTGTAAGCCACTTTTAGAAGCTTCTTTGAGACAGGAAGGAAGAGTTATTTACCTGGAGTGTTCAAACTGACTGTGCATCTTAGCCCAAAGAGCCCATCCTTGCTACTCCCTGTACACACACACACACACACACACACACACACACACACTGACTGCTCCTTCATGGAGCTGGCTGTGTAGCACCCAGCTCTAACTGCAGTAGCACCCACTCAGGGCACCTCTTGACCTCTGTCCGACCCTTGTAGCTGTGATCCCACTGGACCAGGCATGCAGCTGGAGGGGCGGGGGCCACAGTTGACCCCTGAAAGGAATGTGAGGCTCCAGCGTTTGATGCTGAAGCTGGACTGCCCAGCTCGGCACCCTGCCTGGCCTGCCTCACTGCCTCCCGCCGTCTCACTCAGGCTTCTCTGTCCGGTCTGTATCTTTTCACAGACACACAGGATGCAGTGGGCGTTGCTGCTCCTGCTGGCGGGACTCTGCTCCCTGTCGCAGGCCCAGTATGATGACGACGACTCTCAATGGTGGTTCCACTACCTCCGCAGCCAGCAGCGGAACACCTACTACGACCCCTACGACCCTTACCCGTACGAGCACTACGAGCCCTACCCCTATGGGGTGGAGGAGGGCCCTGCCTATGCCTACGGCGGCTCCCCATCGCCCCCTGAGCCCCGCGACTGCCCCCAGGAGTGCGACTGCCCCCCCAACTTCCCCACCGCCATGTACTGTGACAACCGCAACCTCAAGTACCTACCCTTCGTGCCATCCCGCATGAAGTACGTCTACTTCCAGAACAACCAGATCACTGCCATCCAGGAGGGCGTCTTCGACAACGCCACAGGGCTGCTGTGGATCGCGCTCCACGGCAACCAAATCACCAGCGACAAGGTGGGCCGCAGGGTCTTCTCCAAGCTGAGGCACCTGGAACGGCTGTACCTGGACCACAACAACCTGACCCGCGTGCCGGGTCCACTGCCCAGGTCCCTGCGGGAGCTCCACCTGAACCACAACCAGATCACACGCGTGCCCAACAGTGCCCTGGAAGGGCTCGAGAACCTCACCGCACTCTACCTGCAGCACAACGACATCCAGGAGGTGGGCAGCTCCATGCGGGGCCTCCGCTCGCTCATCCTGCTCGACCTAAGCTACAACCACCTCCGCCGGGTGCCCGACGGGCTGCCCTCGGCCCTCGAGCAGCTCTACCTGGAGCACAACAATGTCTACACCATGCCCGACAGCTACTTCCGGGGCTCACCCAAGCTACTCTACGTGAGGCTGTCCCACAACAGCCTCACCAATGGTGGCTTGGCCTCCAACACCTTCAACTCCAGCAGCCTGCTAGAGCTCGACCTGTCCTACAACCAGTTGCAGAAGATTCCCCCGGTCAGCACCAACCTGGAGAACCTCTACCTGCAAGGCAACAGGATCAACGGTGAGAGCTTGGCGCCTGGAGCGGATGGCTGTGGCCGTGGCTCTGGGAGGCCCAGCCTGTGAGCACCTATGCCAGATGGTCATGCTAGGAGGGGGTGGGATGTGGGCTGGGACCCAGGAAGGCTTCCCTACAGGGGCCGACTCCCACCCAGGGCCTTAAGAGAGGAGTGGTCATGGGCTGGCTGAGTGCAGGGCAAAGCCACTGGCAGACACTTCTCAGGTCACCTGCAGGGACAGCCAGGAAATACATGTGTCTAGAGACAGAGAGATGACTCTGGAGAGGGCAGGGTGGGTGGGGTGGGATCCCCCAGGAAGGTGAATTTCAGTTTGACTTCCAGGTCTGTCTTGTGAGGTGCCTGTCCTCAGCCACAAACCCCCAAGAGGATGTGGCTCCAGGTGTGCGCTCCACCTGGCCCTACAGCCTGGCCGTGTGCTTTGCTGCTTCTCTAACTTTAAACCTCAGCCAGCCAGAGCCAAATGGCCACAAAGCTTTGGGGGAGGAGTGTATGGCTTTTCCCCCTTCCCACCCTCCACCTGCTCCTATCCTAGAAGCTGTCCAAAGGAACCTGGCAGGCAGGCTGAGCTCCTGGCTCAGCAGTCTCATCCTTAGCCTCTTGTTATCAGAACATTCTCATCCTGCCAAGGGCCTCGGAGGATGTCCACTTCTCCACCGGCAGGTCCCCGGCCAGCCTTCACCTGCCAGCCCCTCCTGGCTACTCACCCTTCTCCCTGGGGTTGAGGCCTCATTCACGGCCCGTGCAGAACACTGGACCAAGGCTGAGGCTGGTCCTCGGGTTACAGATGAGGTGTGGAGCATGCTACTGATGAGTTGGCCAGGCCCCGTGGGCAGCCCTGGACACGATTGTGGGGTAGGCAGTACAGAGGCATCTGCCTGGTCCATTGGTTTGAAGTGTGGGATACTGCCATGTATGATCTGTCTTTAATGAAAGTTTCTCTTCTGGGACAGAGGGAGGGTGGGACTTTCTCTAAAGTATCATAGCCTCCATCCCACCAGGCGGTCCACTCCCCTGGCCCCTCGGCCCCTTGGCATTGGATCCCAGGAGGCTTCAATGCTGGGTGCCTAGGTAGGTATCAGAAGAAGTGGGTCCCTGCACAAGGACAGAGAGGGTGGCCTCGGAGCATCCATCACCTCTCTGCCTGCACACAGTACCACACCGGCTGCTCCCGTACCAAGTGGTGGCTGGAAGTGTTCCAGAGGGGGACCAGCCAAAGAAGTTCTCCATTCTGCAAGCAACCTCAACTTGCCAGTGCCTGGTGCAACCCACGCCTAATGGCCACTCACTGTTGTTGTGTCTCTCCTAGCCTCCTCTCAGGCTCCTGATCGGGGGCCTAACACACAAGTACAAAGGCTGTCCTTGTTAGTCATCACACTGAGCTGTGTGCTCATGGCCAAGTACAGTTTTGCTGGTGATGCTTGCATTGCCAAGGTGGGGAGACAGTGACACGGAGAGGAGGGAGGCGTCTTTCCAGGTCGCCCAAACTGAGTCACCAAGAGCCCTGAGCTCTTTCAGCCTCCAGGACCCGGAGCCAGGTTCCTTGGGAAGCAAGAGGAGGGCAGTGCTGTGCTACCCAGGAGCAAAGGGGACCCCTTGGGGGCAGGACGGTGCTGGGGATACAGAAGCAGAGAAGGCCCAGGACTCCAGGACCTGCAGGAGGAAAAGGCTGGGTCCCTCCCTCCATCTGCTTCCCTCCCCTCCACCGTCAGCATGTCTCTAAGAGTTTCCAGTTAGCAACTGCCAGGGAACACAGCACCGAATGTTGCCGGGAAGCTTTGGGATCCAGGGCGACAGGGTGGGCCGGCCAGCAGCTAGGAAAGGCCGCGTCAGTGGTTCATCTGGGCTGCACACGCCTCCACAGCACCGCCCCCCTCATGGGCCTGGGCAGCGCTCGCTCTGGCCTGGGTGTCCAGCTCCCCACAAGTATGCCTCGTATTTGCGTACACCCGGCCGCGAGCCAGAGTGTCTGCAAGCTGAGGCCTCTGGGTGAGTGTGTGGAAGTGACTCAGTGGGCCTCTTGCTCAGTCCCAGACAGGGCTGGAGGTGATGAGAAGCTGGGCCACTCCGCTTTCTCTCCCCTCCAACAGCCCCAGCCTGCCTACCAAGAAGCCACCGAATGTTCCCGGGACCCAGGAAGGCAGTCTGGCTGGTTCTAGAAGGCCTCTGCAGTCCTGGAGTTGGGTAACTCCCTGGCCCTGGGGTTTTGGTCTCACATCTGCATGTGCAAGTCGATTGACTCTAGCCTTACCCCTGGCTGGGTCAGTCTGTTTTTTATCTGCTTGAGCTGACACATCAAAGCTGCCCATATGGACAGGTTGCCCGGCCACTGTCCACTTGCAGCAGATACTGAAGGCCAAGGACCTCACGCTCACAGAACACTTAGCCCATCAGTATCCTACACCCTCACAGCCTCGCAGTAGGAGCCCCCACCTCGGTCATGGCTAAGTCTAGACCCGGTAAAGCCGTGCTCTGCTTCCTTGCCTGGCAGCACCAGGACACACACAGCTGGCTGACCCCCTCAGCAGGCTGAGGGACACCTCATGGGGAGCAACGGTTCCACTCCACGCTGCGGCAGGAGTGGCCTGGCCCAGGGTTCCCATTGCTGGGGGTGCAGGAACCTGGTCCTGCCATCCACACTGGGGGTGACTCCACCCCCGCCCTCTTTGCACTGGACGGCAAGGCGTGGTACATGTCAGATGTAGCCATGACTTTTGTGGTCCCTGCTGGCAATTTTAACCAAGTTCTGGGTTTTTCCTTTCAAGTGGCTGACCCAGGAGACCAGCAACAGAGGTGGTTAAAAGAACAGCCAGAGGGACAGGAAGTTAGTTTCACAAAGGACAGCCTGGGTAGGGAGGCAGAAGAGAACTTATGTTCAAAGCCAGGAAGATCTGCTCTGCCTGGGAGGAGTGTGTGGTTTAGGGGCAAGTCTTCCCAAAGGGGGCTTCTCTTGAGATCTGAGAGAGAGAGAGAGTTTGAGAGACGCACCTGGGATGGTGCCAGGTGCAGGAGGCAGCAGGATCACAGTTGAGAAGTTTAGTCCTGGTCCCCTCTCATCTTGTGGCCTTGTATGCTCCCCTGGCGATGCCTGACAACACGGAGGCCCTTGTCACTAGGCCCAGGCTTGCTCTAATTTCCTGCCTGCAAAGTGGCAGGAGTCCTCTTCCTGTGTTGAAGCTGCTCCACTGCCCAGTCTCCAAAAGCCATCACACACTCTGGCTGGCCCTTGGCTGCCCTCTGCTGCTCACCGACAGGAAAGCAACCAAGCCCTGGCAGGGAGGACACTTCGGACATTCCTCGGACCCCCAAGGGCAGGTGGGGGCAGGAGGCCCAGCTGGCGCAGTGGGTGCATCCCCTTTCTCTGTCCTCCAGTAGTGTGCTTGGGTGACTCCAGGCCACCCCCAAGCCTGCAGGTTGTCTTCATGGCTCAGAAGTCTGGAGGATCCTTTCCAGGTGATTTTCCATGTGGCTGAGTTCCCGCCCCGCCCCTCTTGTCCCCTCAGAGTTCTCCATCAGCAGCTTCTGCACCGTGGTGGACGTCATGAACTTCTCCAAGCTGCAGGTGCTGCGTCTGGATGGCAACGAGATCAATCGCAGTGCCATGCCGGCCGACGCACCCCTCTGCCTGCGCCTGGCCAGCCTCATCGAGATCTGAGCAGTCCCTGGTCCGGGGCGCCGGGTGGAGCCCCTCCCTTGCTGCCCCCACTGTATTTTGGCTTGATGGCTTGGTTTGGCTTTTGCTGGGAGGGCTGGGACAGAACCTGCGATGGACCGCGGTCCTCAGCACCCCCTCTCGTCTCCTCCCTGATCTGGGGTCAGGCCTTCTGCAGAGGACGTGGGCAGGAGGCGGCAGAAGTGCCAGCCCAGGTAGGAGCCTCCACATATCCCCAAGGAGCTGATGCTGTGGAGTGTCGCAGTTGCCTAGCTGCCATGACTCCCTGCTGCCTCCCATCCAAGCACCCATCCCCTGCTCCTCCCAGGATACCACTGTCCACTCCCACCCTCCCTGCACCCCCAGCCTTCCTGCACCACCCCCAAGACCTACCGAGCCACCTGTGGAGGGAGGCCACCCCTTTGGTCTGAGGTCAATAGCGCTAGTGGGAATCACATGTTGAAATCCTTCAGCCGCAAGTCAGCAGCATCAAGCAGCGTCCACCAGGGCCCAATGCCAAATGAGACGGCCAGCCCAGGGGCTTGGATAAGTGGGTAGGGGTGCATGCCAGCAGCCAGGCAGCTTGGGGGAAGGGCGGCTTCCCGAGGCAAGGGGATGGCCCAAGCCCATCAGGGCAGACGCCCCCAGAAGCAGCCCCTACAAGCAGGCTCATTCTTGCCTGGCACTCCCTTCTCTCCCCACGGCACCTGCCGGGGATTGGTCATCAAGGGTGGGGGCCACACAATCTCCAAAGCATGCAAAAGGCCTGTTCGGGGAGACAGGCTCTGCCAGCCAGCCTGCCTGCTGGCCACAAGGGGTATCCAGGAACGATGGTTCCAAGACCTGAGTGGAAGTCGCAGCCCCAACTGCAGATGCTGCCCGGTATCCAGGAAGGCCGGGCCAGGCAGCCAGACCTGCCTGCGCCAGACATGAGCTCTCTGCTTTTACATCGCTGAGCCACACCCTCCCCACAGAATGTACCTGTTGCTTTATAGCTTGGCTGGGGTACCGTGACTTGCTTCCCGTTTCTTAATCATAACGTGGCCTGGGGGCTTAATCCACCTGTTCTTTGGAGGTACTATTGGGGTGCAGCCAGCTGAGATCTGTGGCCATGGACCGGCTGAGCTTGGACCCTGCCCAGACACTACCGTTTATCCCTGATACTGGCCATGACTGGGGGAGGGGAGAGGAGGGAGGCCTTGGACCGCATTCTCGGCTCCAGATCCCAAAACTGCCAAAGCCAAACCAGCTTGTTTCAACAGAGGGGCTCGGTGCGAGGGGGCAGGACTGCCCCTGCCCAGGGTCCTCAGGGATCATCTGCATGTGAACGCTCTGTGCCTGTACAGAGGAGCCTGGCCACAGGAGAAGCTTGTGCGGTGGCCGACCCGACCAATAAAGTTACTTTACCGCTGCACCTACGAGACTGGCGTCATTTCAGACAGCTGGGATACAGGGTATTAGGCCTTCAACTGTGGGCAGTTAGTTGAGATAGGAAGATTTCTTTTTAAGCCAGTTCAATGCTTTGCCCAGCAAACCTCATGTTCTGGATATTTTCCTCTGCGTCTAACTTCAGTCCTTCTATCTACTCATTTCCTTCCGTTTCTTGCCCCCAAAAGGCAGAGGTTTTCCACAATTATCCTAGCATCTCACCGCCTTCTTCCCTCCTCCAGCTGCCGCTGGTCTGGTTGGTGTTCTGTTAACCACTCCTGCCCCCTAGTGCCCACTATGCACAGCAGCAGGGAGCCTCGCCTAGCTGAGCCGCTGGGTCCTGGAAGGGGAAACCAGTATTCAGCTACTCACCCCCTGGCCTTCCATCCATCCTCACTTTATGCTGGTCTCGAGATGTCCGATGCTGTGCAGGCGGCTTAGCAGACATCAGGTAAGCGAAGGGGGAAGCCTTGTGCTGTGGGGACAGCTCTCTACTTTCTGGTAGGGAAATCAGTGGAGCACAAAAATGGGCCAGTGCTGCAAGGAAGTGACTCCCCGTGAAACCCAGGTGAATGGGCTTTGCTCTGAGTCGCTGCAGGACGGGAGTGTGCAGCGGAGACCGGGGCTTGCACTCTGATCATAGCCCTCTACTCAAGGGAGCCCCAGGACAGACAAGTGCCAGGTGGAGGAGGCAGAGACACGGCGCCCAGGTGGGCACACTCAAACAACCAGGAGCAGCCTAGCTCTTCTCCGTGATGAGGGCAAATAAGAGAGAGCAGGGAGAAGCTAGGGGCCGGGCCCAGCCCCCGCCCTGCGGCAAAGCTTCCTTCACTCCCCATCCGGTGCTCCGTGAGATGGGAGCAGAACACACTTAAGGCGCTGTCTCCTTAAGCTTCCACTTGCTTGATTCGCAGTTGCTGTGAGCTTCCAGTGCCTCAGCACTCTGCACAGGGAGACTAACTTTCACTGTTTCTTTAAGATTTATTTACTTGAAAGGCAAAGTTAAACACAACTTCCATCACTCATTTGCTCCTCAAATGGCTGCAATGGCTGCAATGGCTGGGACTGGGCCAGGACAAAAGGAGTCCCTTCTTCCCCAGAGCTTCTTCAGGATCTCCCATGCAGGATCGGGGACCCAAGCCCTTAGGTCCTTCTCCGCTGCTTTCCCAGGTACATGAGAAGGGAATCGGATTGGAAGAGGAGCAACCAGAACTTGAACCAGTAGTCATACAGAATGAATCTCTCCTGTACCACAGTGTAGCCCCTACTTTCACCATTTCACAAATGAGGACACTGAGGCATGGAGATGCAGAGGTCGCTCAGAAGGGAGGACAGGGGCTAACTGCCACCATCTGACTGCACAGCCCGTCACCTTGACTCTGGATCCACTGTGCTATCCTGGCTTCCTTGGCCTGTGCGGGGAACTTGAGGGTGGATGAGCTGCCATAACAGAGATCTGTTTGCAGGGCATCCTATAATTGCTCACATCCTTTTCCAATTAAGAGGGATGCCCAGATCCTCTATTTCTGATCCTACTCCCTGCTAATGCACCTGAGAAACTGGGGGGTGGGTGGGGAGCCTGCCACCCATGTGGGAGACTTGGACGAAGCTCCCGACTCCTGCCTTTAACCTGGCTCAGCTCCAGTTGTTGCAGCCATTTGGGGAGTGAATCAGTGGATAGAGCATTCTCTCTCTCGCTCTCTCCTCCTGCTGCTGCTGCTGCTCTGCCCTTCAAATAAATATACAAATCCTAAAATCAATAGAACGCTTTCCTCATCACCAGATGTGCCGAATCCCCAGGCAGCACAAGGGGATATTGCCAAGAACAGAGCTGGCAGGCCCTGCCTCTGGCGTTTATGGTCCAGTGTGGAGACCTAACAACATCACGGCCACCCCAAGTACCATGATGTTGCAAGCCAAGTGAGCCAGGAAAGAGCTGGTACAGGAGTCCAGGATGTGGGCAGGAACACAGTGTTGGAGAGGGCGATATGGGCAGGGCAGCCCGGGTAGAGACAGAGTGGACAGAGAGCTTCAGAGGACAAGGCTGTGGCCATAGGCAGAGTTCAGACTGGTTACAGCCGTGTCCTCTTTAATATCCCAGTACCAAGACCCTTGTACCCAAATCCCATGTCCCAGCACCTGGCCTAGACATGATCTCGCAGTTCTACCTTCCAGCCACGAGAGGGCAGCATTCGTCCTGCCCAACCTCCACACTGGTCCCAAAATCAGAGAGGGCCAGGGGGCCTGGCATCATCCAGGGTTCTTCCCATGTGTGTGTCAGGACTTATGTGTGTGCCAGGATTTCTGTAACATTCTGGGGGAAAGCCTGTGGATCCCCAAAAGGAGGCAGGAACATGGACCCCAGCTACCACAAAACAGAATACAAAAGTTTTTAGTTATTCCAGCCAGCAGTTGGGAGTGGGTGAATTGACTCAGGACTGGATGAATCTACACAAACTCTCTATGGAAGTCCTGTGCCCATCTCAGACATGGGAGCTGCTGAGTCTGAGCCCTCCCTGCCTCCACACACCACCTATGGATGCAACTGGACCTGACCCTCCCAACACTACCACCCCAGGAGCCACTGGACCTGGCCTCCCCCTCTGTGCTGCACCACTTAGATGACCCGGGACATCAGGTGGAGCAAACATGTTGCTCAACCCTGTGGCTGCCGGGGCTTTCCAGAGCAGAGTTCCTTCCTGGAAACTAGTGCATGGCCCACGTGTGTCGTGAGAAGGCCTGACACAGGTGACCGAAGCCCTTGCTGCCCAGATGTACGACCAGGGAGCAGAAGGAGCAAGACTGGAGCAGAAAGCCTGGAATGAGCAAGAGGACTCAGCAGACCCCGCCTGGCCCTGCTGGCTGCAAAAGCAGGTGCAGACACCAGGCACAAACAAGCTGGGCCCACATCAGGGCACTAAAGGCAGAAAGAGTGGAATGAAACTTGACCAAATTAGGAAGCAATAAGAAGAAAGAGGTCCTTGGTGACCCACCTGGTGTGCACCAGCATGGGGGAGCAGGGCTCAGGTGTGACCCAGGCCCAGGGTCTGCTCTACCCACCTGGTGTGTGCCAGCAAGTGGGAGCAGGAGGATCAGGTGTGACCCAGGCTCGGGATCTGCTCTCTGCCTTAAAGACCCACCTGGTGTATGCCAGCATGGGAGCATGGGCGTCAGGTGTGACCCACACCTACTCTCTGCCTTGGTGACTCACCTGGCGTGTACCAGCATGGGGGAGCAGGGGGATCAGGTGTGACCCAAGTTTGGAGTCTGCTCTCTTAGTGACCCCACATCTGCTGCACAGGTGGCACAGGGGCCCCGGGGCTTGGCAGTGGCACTATGGAGACAGTTTGGTCATTCTGGAGGTAATGCTGGGTCATACCAGGGCTGACCAAGTCTGCACAATAAAGTGTTGGGGGTAGCTATTTTGACAGAGGTGCCAGAACCCCGCCATCCCAGAAACACAGCATAGCCAAAGTGCCAGGGCGAAGCAGCTCCAAGCCCAGCAGGAAGGAAGGTTCCACAGGGGCCCAGGACGGCCCTGAAGGCCTTGGCGTCTTGCAGGTATGTGGCGTGCT